TGAAAAGTGGGTGTAACATTGTACAGTGGCATAATGTGCACCTCTGCCTACCCCTTCGGGGATAAAAGGCGTGATGTTATGTGTGTTTAATTAAACTAACAATAGCTCATTAAGAAGTAACAACCCATTATTATGTACAACGTACAAAAATAAGCCTATCATGAAAGAACGACTATAACTATACGTGCAAAAAACAAGATCAATTAATCGATCGCGTATTGTTAGTGAGTTGCGTATGCGCACAAATTGGTCACGATCCGAGTCCCCCAAACAAAAACTTGACGTTATCTTTTATCAGCCGCTCCACTAGTTATGTTGTAACTTGCGGCTACGAGTTAGGAAATGAATGGAGAAGGTAATTTAAAATATTTTGCTTCATTAATTAATATGTCGTAACTGCAACTGCCAAGGAAGGGCCTCAGCTTCGATTGTCATGTTAGGTAAAGTATTGCTAGCATTTTTTCAGTTTTTGAAAATGTTTCAGTAATAAATACAGAGTCGGTGAACGCATTGCTATAAATTTATTATAGCAATGCGTTCACCTTTATTACATAGTTTCGATTATGCAATTAAAATATTTTCGATATCTAATTTAAAATATAAATACGTATATTATTTTGTAATATAAGTAAATAAGGAAAGTCACTCTGTGATATCACTAGTATTTGTCTTTGTAGCGGTTACGGAGGTTTTGTGTCGGAACTACGTAATGGGGCCTACCGTATTTTTGCTCAGCAGATGGCGCCAGTAACCCTTTCGTTTTCCTTCAATAAAAAATTAGCTTGGCACACCTTGGGTGATTGGACAAAGAAACCTCTTCCTACAATTGCGCTGTTTTGTGAGCAAAAAAACGTTAGCCCCGAATCGAAAATCGTACGCAGTTACTACGCAATAGCTACGCAGTTATTAGGCAGTGGCGAAGCAATGACTACGCAATTGTAACGCATTGACTACGTAGTGACTATGCATGACCAAGCCAGAATGTTTTTATAAAATTATTTTTTTAGTTTGATTTTGTACCTGACTTAATAAATCTCAGCACAAGTACTTAAGTCAATGACAATGTACGATAAATGAAAAGACGAAATAATTCTACGATTATAAACGTTGAATTAATCATTATTGAAGTACTCTTATTAATACCTTCAACACAATTTTTTTTTCATTAACGTCACAACATTATGAGTTTTGTCTTTAGAGATAATTAGGACTTGAGAATTATATAAACTCCTATTTTTCTGTTGACCACTTGGACTAAAGATTTTAGACCACAGTTAGCATATGATAGGCGTATCCAATAGTTTATCTATGTATACCCTGCTTCTCTTACCACCACTTTCTCCACAAACGCATTATTCGCAAAAGATAAAGAACAAACTTATATAATATTTGTATAGACGTTAAATAATCGCAAGTCGTGCTCCGCCTGTCTGTTAACAAGACATTTATTACGATTCTGACAAGAGCATGTTAGTTATTTCTTACATACAAATTAAATAATGTGTGTATAGTAGATAATGAGCATTTCGATTTGAAGTAATTAATGAAATATTTCTTTTTCATTGTTAGTAGGTCTGGCGTTTAGCTAGAATCTCGACTGACTTATTTATTTATTTAAATGTACACTTACAACGGTTAAACAAACCAATTACAGTAACTAAACACACTTACAAAATAATAAACGATGAAATTATGAAACCAAAAACAAACATACTTATTACATACAACAAAAGAAAAGTAAAACTTATTTAAAACAGGTAGCATTCATAGGTTCCTCTTGCAGGACTTCAGATATTCCGATAAAATCTCCTTCCATCCATCCGCTAACAGATCACTAGTTGGATTGGAATCCGAGAGACCATTCAGCGCGGCCAGGGTGAGTAAATTCGATGTCACATCGTCGAAAACAGAACACAGCCTACGACTATCTCACATGGTGATAAGCAATGATACGGCCAGGAATGGAACACGTCTGTCCTTAAGCAACCTATTTACTAGGGACATAAATATACTCAGGTTCTATCTGCCCTTCTGGATACAGGGACGCTGACAAATAATTACACTGTTCTCTTTATCATTTTTTAATTATCGATTCCATTCAGTAAAGGATCTTTATTTTATGAATTAATATCAATAAAATATTGTCTCTTCATATTGTACTACCTATATTAACATCGAATGAAAGTAGGGTGAACTCATCTAACTTCGTGACAAAGGCATTTGAGCAATAAAATACCAATAAATTATTAATTAATTTAATTCAGTCTCCGCATGAGTTTTAATCAGTCTTTTATGAGGAATATTAGCACAAATAATCAGATTTTTTTCTAGAAACCTAAGAGTTCTATCAAATTTATTAACCGAATTATTAGGCGAGTCACAGAATTAGATGAGTTCACTATAGTATCACTAGTATATCTATCAATTTAATAGTTAAAAGCAATTACTATATTGAAAAGCACATACAATTAAATATTACATACATAAAGTCATATCCTGAGGCTCTTATAAAACAAAATTGTAATTATAACATAATAACTGGAACATGTTGCAACAGTACGTATAAGTTAATTTTGACAAATCGAGTTTCGAAATGTTACTTGTGTATTTAGAGCTACTATTAAATACAAATATTGATTTAAATTTCGCATATTACGCAATAGGATAGTTCTTTATACGTAATTTTAATTAAATAGTTATTTTTAGTTTTCTTTTATTTAATTTGTATCTTAAGTTGTATATATTTAGTAATAGTTAGTATTTATTTCATTTAAGTTTATATTATTTGTAAATAAAAGATTTGACTTCATCTCCAAGTGTACTTCTATTCAGTTAACAATGAATTCATAGAAGCTAAATAAAAAAAATAAAAATAGGAACATCTTGAACACTTCAAGTAGTGCCATCTATCCTCCATAAACGATATCAAATTTTATGAACCACGCTTATTTACCACTGCGCTGGCAAGTAGTGTAAGTTAGACATTCACTTTTACATATTTACATACTTTGTATTTGTATTCTGATTAGGGGATACAAATATATTATTTTACTAAAATAGTTTATATTTATTTTATATTATTTTCTCACATCAATCATCAGCTAATTCCATCTCCTACCCTTCAATAGTAGTTATCATATCCAAATTAATATTAAATTTTATCTTTCTTACATCCTTGCTTCAAGTACAAGTGACTGCAACTGCGCTTGCGCAAGAGTTCAATTATTATCTGTAATTGGTTGCAATCGCCTGCAACCACTTTTAGTGAACCTAAAACTAGACTTGCTTAAGTAAAATTAGTTATTCGGTATTAACTACTAAAAAAAAGAAATTCAATTCATGAAATCCAATAAATCTTTACAACACACAGTAACGAAAAAAATTCATTATCTATGCAAACTAGGTATCTTTAGTTTCATGTAGTACCTAAGCATGATAAAGTGATAACTTCTGAATTTTAATGTCTTATACAAAGTTTTTTACTCTGCAAATCGCGCTTAGAAAATTATAAGAACTTGTTCAAAACAGGCTTGATATTTATCTGAATGTGATCTTCGCATCTCGTGCATAGCTTAGTCTTCTTACTAGTTCCATGTTTTGTAAATAGATGGCGCTCTCTATAAATATTTTTTATACGAATCCAGCGTAGTCGACAGTCAATTAAATTGCAACGAAATTAAATCAGTTTATTAAATAATTTAATTTTACTTAACTTATTAGGTAATAAGTTTCATGTTAGTAATATCTTAATTTAATACTTGTGATAAACCCAAGATTAAGCTTTCTCTCTAATGAGCACTTCTTGTGTATTTACAAATTAAAGTGCCCATCGAGTTATGTTTGTACTAATAGTATGTTGGGAACAATTAAAAATTTAATTTTGATTTATTTTTCACTATCATCATACCGGTCACGATAATACGCCTACTGCTAAACATAAGCCTCTCCAATGACTTTCAAATAGTCCACTTATAGCAACTTGCATTTATTTGTTATGATGATCAAATTAGATTTTTTATTTTACTGTTAACATAACATTAACATAAAATGACGCCTTTAACTTACGTTACGGCACTTAATGTCACTATATAATGTAACACCCACTACTTTTCACTATTCATGTTATGAGTCTCATGTAATAGGGGGTAAGCCTATTGCCATATATACAGGGCACAATTCCAGGCTCCGTGCTGGAAATATTTTACTGTATACCGAATAATTACACCACCCATTCTAAGTGTTATGTTACCTTTGATGACAACAAATGGCATATTTTGCCCGTTCTTTTCATAGGCTATATTAGATTGCTATATTGATGTCAGAATTTGACTTTTTTAAGGGTGGAAAATCTTGGGTGTCGCTTACCTGACTAAAAACCACCCCGTTCCTTCTCCTGCACGTCGAGCCGGAGCCCTGGTAACCTGTTAGGTTTTCCGTGACATTTCTGTGGCAGGGTCTTCGCGACGTCAGAATTTGACTAAGAGCTGATTTTTAAATCATTCTTTAATTCTTAACTGCAAAATGAAGTTGACATTTTACAGTTTCTAAACTGTAAAATTTCAATGTCAATTCCGTAGCATTATCACATGTTTAAAGTTATTGCTCAGTTAAAAATTATTTGGCGTTGGAAAAATCGTCCTTAAATAATTTAATTACTTAATTTAAATTAGTTCTTAGTTGAATTTCTAAGTGTTTTAAAATATATGTACAGTGAAACTTGATTAAGTGGGACCTGGATAAGTGGGAAACCTCCATAACTGGAAATATTGTAGGTCCCTTGATGTCTCACTTAAACCAGGTTTCATTGTATTTTCTAATCTTAGTCAAGTAATAAGTTTTGGTACTATCATCTTTCTCATTAGGCAAGCCTGATCAATGTTTAGACAAATCAATTACCCTCAACTATTATAATGATATTATAAAGGGGCAGAATAAAACTCAAAATGTCTTATTAATATTTATTAATTACATAACTAATATCTTAATAAGTATGACACACTTTACGCCTTCTTCGGTTTGCTCTTGTCAAAAGTCTGACCCTCGTAGTAGTTTTCACTGAAACAAGTACAATACGTTGTTAGTTCACATTGCTACATACTTTGGAAGAAAACTCCAAAAAGCACTTCATATTTCTTAAAATATGTTTCATTTCTTAATAAAAATAATAACTATCTATAATCTAAAATTTATTTCGTCCTCTTTACATAACATAACTTCGCGCCTTTTTATCCCCGAAGGGGTAGGCAGAGGTGCACATTCGTCATCATCATCATCATCAACAGCCTATAAACGCCGACTGCTGAGCAAAGCCTCTTCTCACACGGAGAAGGTTTGAGCATTAATCACCACGCTTGCCTTGCCCACGCTTGAGGTGCACATTACGGCACTTAATATCAATGTACACTGTAACACCCACTTTTCACTATTTATGTTATGAGCCCCTTGTAATAGGGAGTGAGCCTATTGCCATATACCGGGCCCAATTGCAGACTCCGTGCTACTACTGAGATTTTTTTTAAAACCCAGTAATACTAAGCCCGACCCAGGAATCAAGACCCCTTGCCCGGCAGTCGCACTTGCGACCACTCGGCTAACGAGGCAGTCCTCTTCGTCTTCTTTAATTATTTTTAATCTCATTGAACTTAGACACACAAAAGGTTAAACGTTAAACGCCATAGGACCACGAGCAACTTGGCACAGTATAGGTGAAGGATTTTCCTTCGACCGTTTTCCGTCGGCGCAGTCAGAGATATAAATCATAATAAGTTTACTATTATTTCTAGTCCTTACCATCCCTGAACCTTCTCAGGTTCGTCACACATGAAAGTGTCCTCATTGTAGACCTTGCCAAGGGGACAGAGTCCCTTCTGGGGCTGGACTCCATTGCGGCAGATGTAGAACTTTTGGCAGTCTTCTGGGTGGGGGAAGGTTGGGTGGGGGAGGGCACGGCCGTTGGGGCCCATTACTTCACCATCAGGGCAGGAGAAACCGTCGTCCAGCAGATCTGAAGAGTTAGAGCAACATTGTCATTGTTATAGCGTTCAATAAGAGTGCCATGCTATGGAGCGTTTTCAGATACATACTACCTACACACTATTTAAAAATGTAGGCACTACACTATTTACGATTTCTTTTTATTCTTATCCCCTGACATAATTAAATAGATTTTTATTCAATTATTTATTTTTATAGAAAGTTAACTTTCAACTTACCCTTGGTGATGTGATCACATTGCCTGTTGACAGCATCTTTCCAGTCGCAGTTGGAGGTCTCCTCGTCGAAGTAGAGACCGGGAGGGCAGGGCATCTCATTGGGGGTACCATCTGAGCAGTAGTAAAACTTGTCACAGGCCTGGAAAAGAGAAGAACATATGATAAACATTAATAGTGCTAAGGTACTAGCCCGAATACTAGCAAACAGTGTCACAGTCATAATAAAACTATAAATGTTAGTGGCGTGTAGAATAAAAATGAGAACTAGTCAAAATCCTGAAGAAAATACATTTCCAATTCACTTGGTAGCCGTACTTGCAACCAACGCAGAAAAGAGAATCAGTTTTCTACGTTTCTGTGGCAATTAACGTGGCAGTCTAAGTCTAAAGCTGGATCCAGACTGACCCAGACGCTTGGTAAACAATAACAGATAGCAACCACAAAAATGTGGATGTTTGCCTGTTCTTGTATGCCCTAATGGCTAACTAACGTAACTATACTTATGTCTTCTATAATATCTAGCGTGAATTCTGTATGTAATACCCATGTTGAACAAATAAAACGAATTTTATCTTTTATATATCTATGTTGCTTGTGTTCACCATTTTTCGGCATCGTTGTTGAACAGTGGCAAACACAAACACAGATCACAGGCGGCAAACAGCTTGCGATGTTTCCAAGCGCTTGCTACACATAGATAGTTGAGACTTTAATTGTTGTGTTTGCTATGGACGGGGCATTAAAGATTTGATGTTCTCACGAACGATATAATAACATATAGCTGCAAGTAGCACAATAAACTGATCATATAAAATGATAATAAATATCTCATTTTAAATCCAATAGTAGTAATATTCTCAGTTTTATTACATATCATAATGTTCAACTCTAAACTGTTTCCGTTCACTGCCCTTTGCCTAACATTACCTGCATTACTGCGTACACAAATGCTAGTTGCAGTGTTAGTTGCACAACTCACCTGAGGGTCGGGATGTTTGAAATATCCGTTCTGTCTGGGGCAGCCTTTAGTTGGTTTCGGTTCCTCTGTTAAAAAAAGGAAACAAATGTAACAATTATTATGTGAATAAAATGCTACAAAGAAGTAGTGCTTACGTAAAGGTCGCCATGTCGGTTTTTCCTTGAAATTTAACGAGCAATCTTTACATTATTTTACTTTATTGAAGTTTATGAAAAAAAGACAGTTATAGCAAAGTTTTACTAAAGTTTAGGTACAATACTACTACGTATCAACCCATATGAACCCCAAGTCAGTTTCATAGCTTCGCAGCTCGCCAACTCGCAAGCGCTAAGCTCGCCATGCGTAGGAATTATGGCAAACCTACTCTTAAGAAGGCATTTATCCTTCAGTACTTGACAGCATGTATCCAGAATTAAATGACGATGATGTCTATAATATTTATTACTTACGCAGCTCTTTCCTGTCTCCGCAGTCTACGTTGGATGGGATGTCACATCGCTCCTTGTTGGGGTTTTCATCCGAGAAGACCAGACCGTCAGGACACAGTCTAGCTTCTGATACACCTGTATATATGATAAAATAATATACGTTAATAATTTGTCAGAGCTTACTTTTGGAAACGATTAATTCGAAATGTTATTTTTACATAACAGAATATTTTATTGGATCTACCTATCTCTGTATCAATTTTCATCCAGATCCGTCCAGCCGTTCTGACATGATTGAGAAACTTACATTCATTCAAACTTTCACAATTTGTATAGATTTATGTTTAACGTAAATCAATTCATAAACCCACACATTACTGACATGGTCAATATAAAGTTCATTATGGACAATATGGGCACAAGTAGCCATTGCAAAACCGCAAAATCCCACTCACTTACATACTCTCATAGACGGAAATGTAAGCTTACATTATACTATTAGATTTCAAAATACATAATGAATATATGTCATGTCTTTTACATCTCACTTCACGTCAATGGTATAAGTGGCCATAAAAATATATATTTATGATGATAGTTGACATGACCCAAGATTTAAACTTGAAACCCTTTTCTCAGCAGACACTTGACCAGTCGATCAAACGCCGATGCATTGAAATATTAAACTGAATTACTAAATACACAAAACTAAATTAACTTTTTTCTTGTCTTTTTCCCCATCCTATTTTTCTATATTTCTCATATTAATTTTAGTTGTAAATACTTTAGTTTTTATTTATCTCAGCCCCAGTTATTTAATAAATATTTTGTATCTATATACATTAATTTATATTTCAAAACATTTAGAACATACGTACCTATATGTATATAAATATAAAATATATGTATATAAAATTTCGATTTCACTACCAGTAAAGTTCTGTTAATGTAGTTAAACTAAATACATAGTTCTAGTTAACGAAATGGTTATGTTCACGCTATGGTTATATTGTTATGGTTTCCGCAAGTTGAAGTTTTGAATTCTAGTACTTGTAAATGTATGAGTTTGAATCTGCCAAAATATAAAATAATTGCTCAAATAACTTTAAATGCATGAGTGCGTTAACGGCCTTTTAGGGATTAAGAATTCGAGGATTGTTGGGGATTTAGGGATTGGGGAGATTGGGAAAAGAAGGGGGTTGTTGGGCCTTCGGTAATCTCACTCACACGAAGAAACAAAACGCAAGCGTTGTTTCAAGTCGGTTTATTGTGAGGCCATGGTATCACTCCAGTCGAGCTCGCCCGTTCGTGCCGTGCATGGCTGTCCCACACTTGAATATGAATATGAATAGGCCTCTCATAAGATAATAAATTACCCTTTAAAATAATTTTTTTACCTCTTATTTAAACACTGCAATTATTTTAGCTTTCACTTTCCAAAGTATTAACCGCAAGCGTATTTAATAAGAATCTTAAATTGCCTTGAAAATGTTCAAATAATAGAAATCTTTTTAACATTCCCTCCGCATGTGTCTTACATTCTCGTCTGTGGGTAGAAACTGAGAGAAATGGTGCTTTGTATAAATTAGAAAATTCAATTACCTAATATGTGATAGATAGTATACACGCTACAAGCAGGTAGTTTATAGTTCCAGTACCTATCAATCGTGGGCTGCTTACATACATAATACTTAATCAATGATAGTAGACAAATGTACCTACTAAAGGATTTTCGTCTACTATTTGGATAAAATTTTAAATACATAAATCGCGTCTCACCTAGATGCTAACGCAAGTATAAAATCTCAAAAAATAATGCATATTTTTGAAGTTGTTTAGTGACAAAGGTGTGAGATTTTTAGTAAGAGAAAAATCTTCAAAATGCTTTTGCACCATGGGGTAAAGGGTCTCGTTGTGTGAATTTATGTTCATAAAACTGGTTCTTCTGTTATTCTATCTTCTGTTATTCTCAATTTACCATACTAGAGTTTATTTATTATAATACGTATAATTAACAATCACAACTCAACTCCTTGATTGCAATTATCAATATCAACTCCTTGACTGACCACTACACTCCCTTTTAATAGCATAATTCTCTCAAAGTAATAAACCTCTCAATCGAATGTTGCAACGAGCTAATAAAACACCGTTTACACATGCATACATGATTGCCGATCCACATATTTTGGGCAATATCGGACAAGCTTACTTCACAATTATGGTCGCCTTTGTAACAATATGCTGAGGAAATGTTAGGAATTTTTACACTCTACTTGCTTTAGTAATAAGAGTGGTTAAACGTAAGCAAAAAATACGATTCTGTCACGACATTTTGTTTAGTAATATCAAATTTTACAATGGGCCTACTCGGTTTTGGTTTACAAATCGTAGTATAGTGGTTACGGTTGCAATTTAGAGTAGTGGTCATGGTTTGGTATGAATTTAGTAAGTTCATGCTTATGCCTAATGCAGTGGTATTTATTTTATTTATAACTCATAATAATTATTCGAATGACCTACTGGATTCTTCAGTGTACTATTTCCTAACAATCCAGTACTCTTCCCGTTTATCTTTTATATAAAAAAACGTTGGTATTATCGAATATAACATAAAAGAAATGTCCTATTTAATCCAACCAAGGGAAGATTTAAGTCTCAAAAAAGTCTTAATTAATGGACAGATTATTTAAACTGACAATGTAGGTAAATAATATTGTCCTGTATTTTTATGGGATAAGCCGGCAAAGAAGCATACGTGTCACTTGATGGTACAAACACCGGCGCGCCCATACAAAACCAGAGGCGATACAACAGCGTTACCGGCCTTTTGGGTATTAGGAATATTAGGATTGTTGGGAATTCAGGGATTTGGGAGATTGGGGAAAAGGCGGTGGAGGGGTAATTGGACCTCCAGTAACATCGCAAACGTTGTTTCACGTCGATTTTCTATGGGGTCAATCCGGCCCATTCCTGCCGAAGCATGGCTCACCCACGCTTAACAATTACAATGTAATTCACTTGTTTCTAGAAAGTTCACGTCCTCTTAATTATTTAATAATCTGACATACTCTTCCAGTTTCATTACGTTCTAACGTACGTCCAATTATTTTAAAAGCTATTTATAATCTTCAATAACTTATTAAGTATATCATAAAACGTACAGTTCAATTGAAACCGATTTTTTAATTGGATAATTGAATGTATAATAAAATATAATTATGTGAACAGTCATAAAACATATTGTAACTGTCTCTAATTAATTTTTATGAGTGAAATTATTGCGTAGTTTAATAGAGAGATGAAGTTAATTGTCTAGTAACATTTTCTCTCTCACATTACAGTAAGAAATTCATTGTTTTTGTTCTTTTTATTGTCGTATATCACATAACACTATTACGGGTTGTTTTCCTAGATGGTATAAGTATAGAACTTAAAGGCATAACATCTATTTTAAACTGTCAAACACCGCGAGGACACCGGTGACCGCAACCTATTGTTATTTAATTGTGTCTATAATGAAGGTACTCAAAGGGTTAAAGTCAAGTATATTTTTCCTATTAAAGAGAAAAGACAAGACTAAGAACAGGGCGGTTATTAGTCAGTAAGACACTCTCTCTCGCCTCACCCAGGGCGGGAGAAGTAATTTTATATATTCGTTATCAAAAAAAGGATTTAAACTTGTAAATATTTCAAACACAATTATCAACATTTCAAGTCTAGACTTGTACAAAAAAGTACCAAACTATCGAATACACTAAACCAATTTAAATTGACCCCTCATTACCACTAGCCACATAATGAACACGGGTCATTATTAATAATCACATTCACTCCATAATGATTATTACACATATTCCTACCTATATTAAGTAAACCCGGAATTGTACAAACATACTGCAATCATCCTTCGACTTACATCATCAGTAGTTACGGCCTATGCACTTTGCATGTTTGACCTTTAATACTGACCTTTACTGCACTTGTAATAAAGGTCACATTGGTAGGGATCCGGGTAGAAACCACTCTTCTCTGGACAATCGAACTCTTGCGCTGAAACTGAAAGTAATTGGTTGTTAGATTATATTTATGTAATATGTTAACTATAGAAAATTACTAGTAATCTTTTCTGAAGAGTTATTATTATAATTAGTCTTGGTTTGTAGATTTACACTCGTTTATATAAAATATAATAGAATAGGAAGCTGTTGAGTTATTGAGTGATTTTAATATTTATAACATTAAAACTCTTTGCTCAAGTGCTCGCAAATACAACTGCTAGAGATCTCGGTTTTCGTCAAACGATTTTACACAAAATCGGTTTATTCGAATCACATACTTAACATCATGCCTTTTGTCACCGAAGGGGTAGACAGAGGTGCACATTACGACACCTAATGCCACTGTACAATGTAACATGCACTTTTCACTATTTATATAGGGGGTGAGTCTTTTACCATATATATCGGGCTTAATTCCAGCCTCCGTGTTACTAGTGAGTGTTTTTAAAACACAGTAATATTTTGCCCGACTCAGTAATCGAACCCGAGACCCCTTACTCGGCAGTCGCACCTGCGACCATTCGGCCAACGAGACAGTCAGTTTAATATTTATCTTAGTATCGATTTATGGTATTCCATGGCGATTTTATGTCCAATAGTTTATCAATTTATTATTCGAGGTTAATAATACATCATAAATAATTGAGATGATGATGGGTATAAAGATTTAAAAATCTAATTAGCCCGTCAGTTAGATAATGAAAAAATATTAGACACGTATTTTTTTATTTTATTGTATAATAAAATGATACTTAGATATGTATAACGAATCAAAGTTTAAGACTTGGGGCTAAAACGTCATTTCTACGTATAAAATGTACATAAAAGTGACATCACGCGACATTTCAAATCAATATATCGTCGAAAGTATTCGTTTCTGTAAAAAAAATACGTGTGTAATGTTTTAAATAATCTACCAGACGGACATTAAAATAAAAATTAGTTATCTATTACACATTTCTTTAAATAAAACCATTTAAATAATGAGCTTAAAATGATTGTAATCATATAACATGCTTTACGAACGAAAATTCACTATATTTGAACTAACAGAGTTAACAAACAAGAAAGTAACCCAACGCCTAAACCAAGGCCACAAAGTCTTTGAACTAATTCCAGTTAGTAAGCGAATAACTTAATACTATAACCATTACAATACCTCTATAATGTACAATATTGGAATATGTATCAGAAAGAATGTAAAACATACCATTTTTATAGGAGTAACGAATAGAATTTCTTGCTCGTTCTTCTCCATTTGAATCTACATTTTAGAATGACCATCCAGCTTCACTGACGGACAAAGTGACAGTCTCAAACAACGTAGTAGGTAGGTTGCCAAAGGGAAAAAAACGTAGTAAGTAATAACGTTTCAAAAGTACCAAATTATGGTTTAATTGAAATGAATGCTTTTGAGTTTTTTTAATATAATTATCGTAAATAATGTTAGTTTACCACATGGTGCTTAATTGATTTGTATAAATTAATTAGATGAGAATTACTTCATCAATAGCCTATAAATGCCCACTGCTGAGCAAAGCCTCTTCTCACACGGAGAAGGTTTGAGCATTAATCACCACGCTTGCTCAATGCGAGTTGGCTCAAACTTATAATTAGAAATTATAAGCCCAGGTTTCCTCACGATGTTTTCCTTCACTGTTTGTCAGTGGTGTCTAAATAATCTTAGAAAGTACATATAACTCGGAAAAAGTCACATTGGTAGGTCTGAACCCGCACTCTCATGGATGAGAAGCGGTTGTCTTAAACGTCCGGGCCACTACGCCATGTTCCTTAAGCCCATTGTACTACAAATTACTATTACAATGTATATATATAATTTTTTTTCTGTGTGTGCAATAAAGTATAAAATAAATAAACAAATAAATAAGATAAGTCACACACTGACATTATCAACACAACAATGCGTTTTTTTAATTAAATTGTAAATCACCTGTGGTTCGAAAGTAGTAGAGTTTTTCTCAGTGTATTCACGTGAGTAACCCGCGATTTTTAGTTAATTTAGTATGTCTCACGATAGTTATTATAAAAACAAATTGTAAATAAATCAGTAAATCCTTCTAAATCAAGTTGTGGGTTCTACTTTCTAAACAGGCAAATTTTTTTTAGAGTTTTATTGCCGATAAAAACTGTTAAAGGCCAACCTTCCGATAGCGTCGGACATCATTGTCCGACACGGCATCGAATGTGGAACTATAGGTACACGAAAATCAACCGGGACTAATAACAGGAGATCAAAAAGACTATAGGAAATAACCACTACTCGTACTGTATAATTATGTCATTTAAAATCAAAATTGGTTATTATAAAACCCAATTCAATGTGCATGTATAATAAATTTATTGACATACAATTAATTAAATTAGTCTTACCTGTACCAAAACACGGGTCTTATTTTAAAACCTATAATTATTTTGTATATTAATGTCTAGTGACCCTGAATGGAATTATTTAGGTAAGTAATAAGAAAATCAACTCGTAGCAACCCGGTAATTACTAATTTATATGTTAAATTCTACTGTCGTTAAAAAGTTAAGAGAAAATAATAAATATCATGAGGTTGAGGACAAAATCTCTACTCCTATAAGCCAGGATCTACAGTAGATAAAACCATGAAAACACCGGAACACTGAAGTCCGGCTCGGAACGAAATAAATCAGCAGATATTATAAGAGTAGAAGAAAAAAACTATAGTTTTCACATCCCTCGGTGAATTTATGGAGGAGACAGAATGAATTAAGCCTAGAGGCACAGAAAGAGACATACAATTAGGAGATGCCCAGTCGCTGAGCACCACGGAAAACTAAATGGTCCTTATGTGTGAGCTGTTATACTCACTCCAATGTCATATTCACATAAATATCACAGTTTTATTTTAAGGTCTCAACTGGCTGATTACAATTTATGCAAATATTACCCTTTATATCATAAATACATTAAACACATATTACAAAAACTACTTTCGACAATTCACGGTCAATACATACTTAGTTTATAAGTAATGAATGCGTACTAGCACGTCTAAAAATACTTCACTCGCATTCTAGACTATGTATGTAGTTGACCCCGGCTTTTGTCAAGCAAAACCTTAAGATTGACAACCACTCAAGTTCACCTTGTTGAGCAATTATTTTCGTAATAGTATGATAAGTATCGTTGAGAGAGTAGAAAGTGGCAAAAATAACCAAAGTGTAAACGGCTTTGAGATTAGGTAACTGACAGTTGAGATTATGTACTTTGATATAAATATAACATTGTAGTGTTGTGCAGAAATAAGCTTTCATTTAATTTTAATGTTGAATATTTTTCCTGATATACGTGTGTTTGGCTGCCGTTGGCCGAGTGGTCGCACGTGCGATTGCCGGTAAAGGAGTCTCGGGTTCAATTCGGTTCAATTCGGAGGTTCGGGTTTTCCTAAAAATTCTCAATAGGAGCACGGAGTTTGTAAATGTGCCCAGGATGGCAATAGGCTCACAACATAAAGAGTGAAAAGTGCGGGTTACTTTGGACAGTGGCATTAAGTGCCGCAATACGCACCTCTGTCTTCCCCTTCGCGAATAAAACCGTGATGGTGCTTGTTTGTGTAAAACCGAAATTCTACAAAATATATAAATAGTCATACGTTATAAGTAAGGTTTTTGGCATCACCTTCAGACGCGTAAATTCGGACCCTTCCTCCTGAATACACTATCTATTTAGAAAACCACATCAAACAGTGTTGCGTAGTTTTAAAGACTCAAGCATGCATAGGGACAGAGAAAGAGATATTGTTTTATACTATGTATGTAGTGGTAGGTTTTTCAAGCAATGTTATCGCTATTACCAAACCCAAAAAGTATTTGCGAAATGAGTTCATACGCTTTAAGTTGTACACTGTCATGTCGTGTTAAAATATTGTTCATTATTCAGTTACAAAACCTAAAATATAACAGCACATGAATATTTTTTATACCGATAACGATTGGGGAAATGCGTTCTAGAGTGGAGACCGCGTCTAGGCAAACGTAGTGTAGGGCGCCCTCCAGCTAGGTAGAGTAATGACATCCGCAAGGTGGCTGGCAGTAGTAGGATAAGAAGAGCTGAAGACCGAGCTCAATGGCGTGCCATTGCAGAGGCTTATGTACAGCAGTGGACGAACACGGGCTGATGATATTGAATTATTTTATATTAATTTAAGTCTTAATGAAGAAATTCAAAGCATTGAATGAATAAATCTTCGCCTACAACTTCGCCCACTTGGGAAAAGATCCTTCGAGATGCCTTTTAAGTTCAGCAGTAGACGTCTTCTAGTTGATGATATTTATGTATTTCATTCGAGGTTTTTAATCTAATTTTGACTGCATTTAGTATTTTACTCAGTCAAAAATAAATAATTTTAGTGTTAAATACAATAAAATGTTCGAAAATCATCTTTGTCAATTGGGTTCAACGGTACAGTGAAATTTTGTATTCTTCGAGTAACTTATTAATAAACTAGCTGTTGGCCGCGACTTTATCCGCGTAGAATATTAATATTAGAACATAACTTGTTTATGTTTTAATTTTCCAAAATAAAAGTAGCCTATATTACTTCTTAGTACATCAGCAACATGCCAATAACGGCTGAACCGATTTAACTCATTTTGGCCTTGAAAATGTTCATGGAAGTCCAGGGAAGGATTAAAGGATGAAAAGATAAATTAATGTTGTACAAAGTTTGACAGGTCACCTAGTTACAAATACATATAAATATGTACAACATTAACTAACAACTTAACTTTTCACTTACTACCAACAAATTGACTAAAACTGACAACGAATCGTGACTCATGTTTCGAAAACCCTTGTTTTAGTGCCCTTGCAACATGTGTAATGTATGTTGGGGGAATTGGCTATCTAGAGCGATTGTGAGGTGAAAGGAGTTGCAGTTCATCGATAGATTGTTACAAGAATTGGGTTCTTACTTAATCTTAATCAAAACTTAAGGCCTACTTAGTACCTACTTAATCTTAATCAAAAATAAATTTTTTTTCGACTGTTCAATACAACAAAATGTAAAAAAAAAATCACACTTCAATTAATTGATTTTACGAATAACTTAATTTTATTATTTTTCTAGCATTTTTTAAGGAATAAGTGCGCTGTTTGACGCCAAAAAACATGACGTCATAATTCACAATTTCCAACAAAATTCGTTCCAACATAGAAAACTATCGTTTTGACAGTTCAAAAAAAGTATTGAATTTGACTAGTTGGCAAGCTAACCCTATTGTGGTAACTTAACTTTATTTTGAGTAACTATATAACAATAATTATTATCTTTTTCTATTATTAACCTATCTATCTACTATCAATATCCTATCTTGAGTGTCGTAGTGACTCGGAGGTTAAGACCGTTTCTCATGCATGAAGGCATGCCTATAAGTAGCCACTGGTGACCAAAGGCCTCTTCTCGCACGGAGCTCTTAATCACCACGCTTGCTCAATGCGGGTTGGCGATTTCAAACTTATTAGTTATCAGATTAGAAATTATAAGGCCAGGTTTCCTCACAATGTTATAAATCAAGAGCACTGATTAATAATAATATATAACGAGAAACCGAAGTAAATACAAAAGCCTTTAGGAAATTACAGTACCTACATAATTTCAGCGGAAAATTAATTTCCGTTTAGTAACATTATTTAAGGAAATATTTATCATTTGTGATGATGTTAGCAGTCTGTTATGTCTAATGCTAATTAATAAACCTTTATTGTAATGTAAGTTACCTTACAACTAAAAATTTTGTTCTTGTTATCTACTATTTACCTACGTAGCTACTTATGGTATTATCGTAGTCCTATTTCAAATTAGATTTTGTTCAAGATATTTAGCGATATACAGGCCGTCGACAAACAGCGTGATATTATGAAGAATTTCACAAGGCTATACTATGTATTTATTTATTTATTTAGTCTTTAATGTGTATACAATTTGATTACCTACACAATGGCACATAAGGCGAACTTAATGCCATATGGCATTCTCTACCAGTCATCATCTTATACTCTTATACTATTATATAAAGCGGAAGAGTTTGTTTTTTTGTTTGTTTGTTTGAACGCGCTAATCTCCATAACTACAAGTCTGATTTGAATAATTCTTTTTGTGTTGGATAGCGCATTTATCGAGGATAGCTATAGGCTATAAAACTTCACGCTACGACCAATAGGAGCAGAGCAGAGCGTGTGAAAGAGTGCGGAAGTAGCTAGTATCTTATACATATGAAGCCTAAAAGTTTCTAAGCCAAGCTTGCCAATCACACATGTAATCAATAAAACCGCAAAAACTGCGGCAAAATGTCGGCGTAATAGTTATGTAATTTATTTACAATTGTACATATGTGTGTAGAAGGGCATTTGAAGGATATCCGACTGTAATAGAAACATTGTAAAAAACCGCAGAAGTACTTATAAATAACATCCGCAATCTTCATTGTGGGGTCAATGTACTTATGTGCATGTATAAGATAATGTTACTGTGTAATTTCTATTGGTTCAGCGTTCAGCGTTGGTCAGCGTTTACTACACCAGCCGTACAAACATGGGTGCTGACAAACGTACCCTACCCTGATACCGCTGAGTACGATACTCAGTACAACAAATATCTAAAAAAGAGTAGGGAAAAATAACAGTCTTAAATTAGCATATGCATTTCATAGAAAGAACCTTTCAAAATCATTGTACATTTGGTAACTATACCAGCGCTAATGCTTTTCAATTTAGCAAGCAATTGTGTGTAACTAGCGACTGCATAGGAAACCTAAATAGCTAAATACGGAACTAGTTTACAGACTACAGTTCTAGTTTCGAACAAAATGCTGTTTGCTGCAAGAGTCTACAACTTTATGACGTCACTCTCTATATTAATATTGTCACAATATCCCTTTTTTATATAACGTTCTTTAAATGAATAGTAACGTTTTTATAATAACTATCGTGAGATATGTCTCATATATAGTATGCTATATTATAAAAATCGCAGGTTACTCACGTGAATATACTGAGAAAAGCTCTACTAGTTTCGAACCACAGAGGGGTTTGTTTTATATCACGACAGAGGTGTCACTTAAGCATGTCTTATTTGATGAAATGAAATGTTATTTTGTTTCAATTATTACCTGAATATTTCCAAAGGCAGATAGGTAGTATCTGTAATTTTTCTGAAATGGTTGTAATATCATTTGATATCCCATAAATCAATCAAGTCCCATAAAAATCAATGCAGCCGTTCTTGAATAATCACTTTTTGTGTTCAATATATAATTATATAGATTCCACTGTACAATTCCGACTAAATAAACAAACAATGCACTATTTAACTGTTTATATTATATGACCAAAATATTTGATTCAATATCTGATAACTAATGTGACCCGTATTTGTCCATCGCATACTAATTTATCATGGAGAGTGACACTGAAGAATTGTTAATTCGACATTCAATTACCAATATAAATCGATATTTTATTCAAAATTATTTTATAGAACCACGTTACTTTTTTACTACTTATTACTCAAAGTGTTACTGGGTTTTAAAAAAAATCTCAGTAGTAGCACGGAGTCTGGACATGTGCCCGGTATATGGCAATAGGCTCACCCCCTATTACATGGGACTCAAAACATAAATAGTGAAAAGTGGGTGTTATTTCTGTGTGCAAACTGTGCGTAATGTTATGTTATGTTACTTTTTTTCTAGCAACACAAAACATTTTTTTGTTCATAAAACCCCTTTCATAAAGTTGTATTACGATTAGCTATAATATATATCATTTTTATCTGTCCTTTGATGAGAAGAGGAGGTGAAATTACTATACACGTCTATTAGTAATACTAGAAATTTAGACCTTAAAAACAAAACCGCTGACTGCACGGTTGGTGCGGTGGTTGGGCAATCGGCTGCCGTGCAACGTGTCGCGGGTTCGATTCCCGCACGGAACAACACTTTGTGTGATCCACAAATTGTTGTTTCGGGTCTGGGTGTCATTGTGTATGTGAACTTGTATTTTTGTAAACGCACCCACGACACAGGAGAAAATTCTAATGTGGGGCAACGTTTTAACAAAAAAAAAACATAACAATTAAACTCATTATTTAGATATTTTTAACCTTAAACCCAACAAATCGATACCTAAATGCACATACACAATCAACACAATACAATTATGGTACCCAGGTACTAATTCATTGAATAATTTACCTTTGTCGGTGCAGTACAGTTCCGATTGAGTCATACTAAGACAGATCTTGCGAAACTTATCGCGAATTGTGTGTCTGCTATCGAGTGGTACAATTTGAATATAACCTATGTACAACTGCATTATACATCATCACTACATAGTATAAAACAAAGTCGCTGTCCGCCGTCTGTCTGTCCCTATGTATGCTTAAATCTTTAAAACTACGCAGCGGATTTTGATGCGGTTTTTTTAACAGAGAGTGATTGTTAACGAAGTTTTATATGTATAATACATGCATATTGCACCCGTGCGAAGCCGGAGCGAGTCTCTAATAGAGTATATAATACAAGTTTAGCCCTTATATCGTGGAATTATGCTGGGATAATTTATAAATTAGTTAGTTTTATTTGGTTTAGAAGTCGCTCTTAAAGCGAAGATTGCATGTTTTGCAAGTATATAATGAAAAATATATACACTTGCAAGTAAAGAAATTGAGCCACTGTCGTTTCTTCTTTTTAATTTTTTAAAATATTTTAGTATACAACAATTTTATTAATTGGTAACTTATGTCGTATAAAAGGCAATTTAGTTACCTTTGAGAATCTCTCTCTTGGCTCTCAAAAGGCTCTCATTTTGAGAGCATATTAAGCAAATAGAATATTTTTATTTAAGTTACAGAGGGTTCGATGTGTGAAAAGTCGCTAGTGGCTCCGTTAATTTATGTTCCTATGAGAGTAAAGTGGTCAAGAAAGTGATAATGCTCTTCTTTAATGAACTAACAATAGTAAAAACTGTATTATTCAAAGATTATTATAGTATGTAGCATAGGTGGTGACGACATAGTAGATATGCTTGTAACCGCCGCTGCTCTTTCCCCGTGTGTCGTAAAAGCCGACTAAGGGATTACACATTTGACAAAGGTCCTTAACCCTAACGACCTCTAACTTGCTAAGAAAGAAGATTATGGCAATGCCTCTTATATGGAGCAGGTTCATAGTCCTGTTCATAGACTGCCTCATTGGCCGGGGCAAGGGATCTCGGGTTCAATTCCCTGGTCGCGAAAATATAGTAGTAGCACGGACTCTGAAATTGTGCCCAGTATATGGCAATAGGCTCACCCCCTATTACATGGGACTCAACATAAAAAGTGAAAAGTGGGTGTTACATTGTACAGTGGCATGATGTACACCTCTGCCTACCCCTTTGGGGATAAAAGGCGTGATGTCATTATGTTATGTACATATCCAACAGAAAACTAGCACAGGCTCTTGATGTAAGTTAGATCAACTTTACAATATTGTAAGCTACGATAAGTAAGTACCTATAGTTTATTGAACTCTGAACGGTTATTTGAGATGAATAGGATTTCCATGGTCACTGTTAGTAAGAGCGTTTATATTGCAACTCAATTCATTTCAAGTACAAAGATTTGACACTGGTGAAAACAATTTATCTAAATAGAATTAGTAAAAAGAACTTCTAACTATTGAATAAACATCGGAAATAACTTTCAATGAAATTGCATTATTTTTAGCATTGTAAGTATCAGCTTAATTGTAACACGAAACTAAAACATTATCACTCAATTTCTCAATCAAATTCTAGTCAGTAACACACCCTACAATATCAAGTTTTAACACTCTAACTTAATCTAAACTTATAACAAAAAATAACTTAAATCACTTACCTAACGCGCACACAAAGCCGGCGATAAAGAATAAACGTTTCATTTTCTTTTTTTTATTTAAAATTTAATTTGAGGTAGAAAAATTTATAAATAGAATTTTATTTAACTGTTCGTACGTGCGTTTCCGTTCGAAGGTTGCTCTGTATTGCGAGCGGGGCTATTGTGACCGGCGCAAGCGCAGCTTACTAAACCACGCACGACCGTAATGACTGCGATGAAAGTGAATGAAAGTTAAAAAAAAGACATTGACTGATGAATTTAACGTTCAAATGTAATTTTTGTATGTATTTTAACTATTATTTCGAATTGTAATTTATCATAATTATTATTATTGTCTGTAATTGAGAAGATATCAATTATGGTCTGTTTTGACAGGTTATTAGAAGAACCACGTAATTTATCTTCAGCTCAATTATTTTAGTTAGGAAATTGATACAGATTGTTGTATTTAAATGTCGACGTCTTGTTATGCACGCGTTATTGATTAACCTGATCTTATGGGTGAAAATTACTTGCTTACATGGAATAGATTTTGCTATGAAGAAATCTCTTCTTTGAACATAATTATAATAAAACCTAAGTTTACGCCAGACATATTAAACTGTCAAACACCAAGCGGTCACCGGTGACCGCGACCTATTGTTCTTTAATTGTGTCTATAAAACCGGTACTCGATGAGTTAAGAGTTGTTCTCACACAATTGAACCGACAAAATTATGTAACTAGATAATTATATTGTGAACCTGATTGAAAAAAAGTAGCCCATGGAGATTCTTGCTCTTTCTTCTCCATAGGAATGTACACCTTAAAATAAGAAAACATTTCCACTTTTGAATTTTATGTTGACGTTCAAAAGTGCCTTCCTGGTCTAATTGAAATACATGATTTTTACTTTGACATTGACTTAAACATGTCTGTTTTCTCATACACTGACCATAAATTAAAGAAAAATTTTCAATTATTAAAAAATTTACCTCAACTTTAAAGAACCATAATACAAATACATATAGAAATTAAGTTAATGGTATTAAACCAGGCACTCACAATAACTAAATTAAACTATTTATACGTACCGAACTTCTTTATTATGATACAATTGGACTCGCATCCTAATTTAGTGAACGAGTTCTTGTCACAGTGAGTGTATCAAGTCGCTAAGAAAAGTCACGACATATACCTATATATGTAAGTAAGTATATATGTATAGACAGTCGAGGCCCAAAGACGATAGCCTCGGAAATGGCCACATCATGGCCAATTTCATGGAATTATATGCCGTGTGACTTATCAATTGGGTATATTATTATATGCATTTATTTATACTTTTATACAGAGGTTTTGGAATTGGTGCTTAATTTTTATTGGTTGTATTGATGAGACGTGCATGGTTATCGATCTTATAATAATGGAGTTGTTAAAAATAATTATTTTGGTATTGTGAACGGCTTTTTTCAAAGAAGCCATAGAGTATCGAAATATATTACCTACTTGGATACTATTATAACTAAAATATTTAATGTATTTTGTTAAGGTAAAATGTGAACCTTATTTGGATTAAATCTCGTATTATGGCATATAGAACCATATTAAAGACAATCTTAGATTTCTAAAAACCTTATATTTACTCTGTCTATATCGATGTTCAATTGTTATGTCTCACGAGTGATAAATTAATAGATATTTAAACGAATAAAACCTCTAATAATACTGAATTTAAGCCGGAATTCCTGTACAAGTTTTAAAATAGTTCTGCATGAAGTGACAGGAGCAAAAAGGAATGTAAATTTTTATTATCTCTTGTTCTACATGAAGGCTGTTGTGGTCGTATAAATACTTGGGTTTTATCGATAATTCGAGGTTCTTAATAACAACTATTTATGTCTTCCGATGCACTTAAAAGTAGTTAAGGGACACTTAAATATTGATATGAGTATCGTTTTATATATTTTTTAATTATAAACGATTATTTTTTATACAGTTAAGGCTATCATAAAAGGTAATAGGACAAAGAGACATCGTTATAATATTATATTTTTAATCCACTTTATCGTGATTAGGATTTTTTTCTCAATTAGTCACTATTTTACTCTTTTGAAAAGTTCAGTAATCAACAAATTTGTATATTTATAGTTACTTAACTTTTTTGACGGTAAATGTTTAACTCATTAAGCTCATGAACTTAGCGTCTCATTAGTTGAAAGCCACAGCTTACAGTCTCGGGCTCAAGCAATTCCTTTTTGCCCACGAAATTTCACCTCAAGTACCTTTATCTACTCAGGAAGGGCAAAACAATCATCATCAACAGCCTATAAATTTCCACTGCTGAACAATGCCTCTTCTCACACGGAGAAGGTTTGAGCATTTATCACCATGCTCGCTCAATGCAAGTTGGCGATTACAAACTTATAAGCCCAGGTTTCTTCACGATGTTTTCCTTCACCGTTTGTCAGTGGTGTCTGAATAAACTTAGAAAGTAGATATAACTCGGAAAAAGTCACATTGGTACTTGCTGTTGGTAGGTTTCGAACCCGCAGCCTCAGGCATGAGAAGAGTCTTAAACCTCTAGGCCACCTCGACATTTTTACAAGGCAAAACAATACTTTCATCTAATTTATTACAATACAATACTATGTATATATCTAGAAACATTAGCATTATAATCTACTTTCAACCACTTTCGTTTTGTTCTCATTGGAGTCACAACTTAGTTTATGCGACCTTGTCAAATGAAACGAAAAAAGTGCGTCAATTACCAAGGTTTTTATATACAGAATGATAATTCTTAACTCCATTCACTGATTTACTGTCTTCCTGCATTAACTACATTTTTGGTTTAGTGGTTCGGTAAACGACTTGAACAAGTTCTTAAAGCCTAATTTGGCAAAACATGAATATCATATTTTTAGACGCAAAAAGTTTCAGTGATGAATCTATTTACAAATCATATTACCCTCATGGAAATCTAAACAGTTTGAGTTATGACTATCTCAAAGTTCTTCCAGCCGGATTTGGCAAAACATGAATATCATATAAGTTTTCAGTAATGAATCGATTTACAATCGTATTAACCTCATAGATATCTGGAAAGTTTGAGTTATGATCATCTCACTTCAGTTTTTTTATGGAATAGGAGGCAAACGAGCAGACGGATCACCTGATGGTAAGCGATCACCGCCGCCCATGGACAACCGCAACACCAGAGGAGTCACATGTGCGTTGCCGGCCTTTTAAAAAGGAATACGCTCTTTCCTTTAAAGTTTGAAGATCGTACATATGTAGGTAAGTTTGCCTTATGTATTTATTTTTGTATTGTGTACAATAACGATTAAATAAATACTTTAATATTTATATGCACTCACTACTGCTAAACATAGGCCTATCACTTATATCTTAATTCTCTTCATTTTGTTATCAATGAATGTATGCAAAAGTATAATTTTATTGGCCCCGAAGAAATGATCTTCATCTAATTAATTATCGACATTATAAAAAACCTCACATTAATTCAGAGGACATAACTATAACTGAATTACCTAATTATGTAACTTTCAAAGAAGAACTGATTTTGAAAGGGTCACATAGCAACTAAACAACTAAGTAAGTTGCATAGTTACCCTGCAACTCATCCTTAGTAAGTGCTTGTAAGTTTAAATTTATTAGCTCATAATTTTGTTTCCTATTTCAATAGCTTCTAAACCTACTGTTTAGCAATATACGGGGTCAAACATATCTATGATAAACTTTACTGGAAGCGTTAAAGTCAATGAATTGTTTTAATAGTTAGTATAGTATAGTAGAGGTATAGCTTAATGTAATCGGTGAAAGTTAATACCGAGTGCGTATATTTAAATTAATATTGCTATTATTAATTCATTCTATACATGTAACTTTACACCTTTTATCCCCGAAGGGGTGGCACATGTGCATATTACGTCTACTTTTCAATATTTATTGCTATGAGTCTCATGTAATAGGGGGTGAGCCTATTGCCATATACCGGGCAGTTTTCCAGGCTCCGTGCTACTACTGATATTTTTTTAAAACCCTGTAATACTTTGGCCGACCCGGGAATAGAACCCAAGACCCCTTGCCCGGCAGTCCCACTTGCAACTACTCGGCCAGTCGGCAGTCGTTCTTTATTCATTCTAAAATAACGTATGTACATACAATTCATTTGGTAATTTGCAATGGTGTAATAATTTCTTTTTTAACCGACTTAAAAAAATTAGGAGGTTCTCAATTCGACCGTACCTATATATGCTTTTTTCTCTGTGTTTGGTATTTGTACCATATTCAATGATTTAGACAGTATGGCAAACATTAATACTACATTAGCTCATGAATGTAATACATTCATTTTGCCGCGGTCCTCTTGTTTGATATTCACAATTTTCAAAACGTTCTTATTTTCTCTCAATATTTGTTAATGTCAATTTAATCTATGTAATGTCTTTTTGCAGTGCAGTAGAAACAAATTTTACGAGTCACTAAAAATTGAAGAAAGCAATCTATAAGATAAAACTACAATACGTGCCAAATATTAATACTCCATTAAGTACAGTCCACTTCAAAAACTCAATCAACTAAAAAAAGAAATTGCAAAAGTGTCTCGTGCCAATAGATTCACTGACAGATAAACTGATATTAGGCAATATTAGCACAATTACAGTTGAGTAACCAACATGCCTGGCAAACTGGTCTAGGTATTGTAACTAAACATGGCGACCCAACGTTGCGTGTATGTACATATTCACGATCGCAAATTAAGGTAACGACACACTGTCGAAAGAACGTTGCACGTTTACACCTAGTTACAGTAACTCGTCAATGGTTTTTTCTTAAAGTCAAATGGGCAGTGACATCGCAGCTGCGTTGTGTACATCGTGTGATATTGCCTTAAGTTGTCGATATGTGAGTGAGTTGTCGTGATCACGATTGTATTAGTGACAACTAACTGTCTCCGGTAAGGAAAGGATGTAGTCAATGACATTATGTCAAAGATTAAATTCAAGATAAATCTTAAATTAAATAAATATATACAAC